TCTGTTGGCTYTCGTTCTCTACATTTGGTAAGTTTGTAGAGCTCGACTCTGACGAACCGGTTTCGCTTATAGTAATCTCGCCATCGTTAAACCCGGTTTCATTATTTGAACTACTTTCATTGTTTGAACCGGTTTCATGGTTTGAACCCGTTTCGCTCAAACTAGACTCGAGTGATATTGGATCTGAATCAGAAGATGTGCTTTCACGAACAGACTTGTTTCCTACGATACCAATCATGACCAAAATAAACGAGAGATTGGTCTACCGGTTATACTGCCGGATTGTATCCGGTTAAAGAAATGGGGGTAATTTGAAACATCTTAAAACTAGTAGACGCAATTGGAATAAAAAGAGATCTAAAGGTACCGAAATCGTAAATAAAAAAAAAGCATGTACGAAAAGTCGAAAATGACAAGTTGACTAATAATATGTACCTATCTCCTACCTTGAGATCCATTATCGTCCTCATCATTCTCCATCTCTTTGGTGTTGTCCGGCGCTGGAGCCGTCGCTGCCGCCACCATGGATCGAATTTTTCCGGCGGGAACATTAGCCTTACCAAATCTATAAGTCTCAAGAAGATCCACCAATAATTCTGCATCTACAATATCACCTTCCCCAAACCAGCCTCCTCCACTAATTGGTCGGTCCAACTTTTCCATAATGAAAATCGATGCTAATGTTCTTTATTTCGTTAGAGAACTACCAAAGATGTTTAGATGAATGAGAATTCAGATTTATGACTCTTCTTTTCATTTTCTTCTTTTTGTTAAATAAACGCACTTGCGCCTTTGCTGCCTTTTTATATCCTCTCAAATAATCTTATCTTATATATATAACATAAACAATACCCACGAGGGAAGCACGAGGCGTTAAATATTTGTTACTTAACGATTTTGGTATTAGCTATATAGGGAGGTGCCAAAGTTAACCAGCTCCCCATTTGCAAAAGTATTTAAAAAATAAAATAAAATAAAAATCTGTGTTCTATGAATTATGAGTTAGATCCATACCATTTTAAATAATGAAAATTGTAATACGAATCACTTAAAGCTTACATAAGGTTTTCATGAGACTTTTAATATATACTGTGGTAATAAGATTAACAAATTTTTTTTTTTTTGTAAAGACTTAACTACAAAAGTTTACACAATCTGGTTTTATAAATTCATCACATAACCTAGTTTCATTAAAAAATCATCACAACTCACCCACGTAATAACATAATTATTACTACATGATTGACACGAAATGAATCTCACACATTAAAAAAATCTTGGATGTTTGGTCAACTCTTTGATTTACAACTCATAATGACAGGGATGTGTGTATCTAACGTTACAGTTAGTTGGTTAGTTATGATTATGAACCATATTCAAAACGTGTACTGATAATAAATAATGTATATCATGCGGCCCATTAGACAAACAAGGCCTATATTTTCCAAATTCACCAAATAAGCCCATATTGGAAAATCAAAATTTAAAACTTTTAGCCCAATTCCAATAATACTCATCTTAGAAAACTGGAGCCCACTAAATTCCACGTGGCAGAACGTGAGGCTTGAAGTGTGTGATTAACGCGGGTTTTTTACTCATCCTTAATCTTCGCGCTTTTCTGATAGATCCTTTGGGAGAATCAAAACCTTAAAATATTGTTCTAATAATAAACTTTGAACAAAATCCAAACGAATTTCTCGAATTTTAATGGCTCGAGTTCGAGTGTTTTTGATTTATATTGTTTAGGAAATGTTTAAGGAATAAAATTGATTCGTTTCAGTCTGAGAAGGAGATATTACCGAGTCCGAACTTTTGTCCGAAAAGATCTTAG